AGGCCCTGGCCATACAATTCCCAATACAACACTCAATCCAAGGCTGTTTTCAGTCAGACTTTGTTCATTCCATTTGTGGGCAAAGAGGCCTCTAAGAGTAGAGGGGCACAAAGCTGGGCCAGTTGGGGTCAGCAATGTTCAGAGTCACCAGTAAGACTCCCAAGAGGGAGACAGAACATTTACTTTTCTGGGATATGCTATTTGAATTATATTGTTCAATTAGCCAACATGATAAATTCTTAAAAGGAAATTACCATGACAAGGAGGTTGCTGCATTTTTTGGACTAAGTGTCATAATTATAGTCGGCAAATGCATACAGTCTTAACAAAAATAGCCTTCCTCATCTGCAGTTATGAAGATAACTTAACTCTCTATCTGGCTTCATTTTTGCTGGACAATAATAAACAGCTGATAAGCTATAAATGACATTGCTTTACATTATAAAAATACTAGCTTCTTCCTTTATGTTTACAGGCATTCTCTGCTTGAGTCAAGATTAGGCTTGTTAAGTGATTAAAGTCAATTTTATTAGAGCAGTATGTGATTATTTTTTTCATTTATGTTTACAGGCATTCTCTGCTTGAGTCAAGATTAGGCTTGTTAAGTGATTAAAGGCAATTTTATTAGAGTAGTATGTGATTATTTTATTCTAAGAGAACAAAAAACATAAAAAGAAATATTTTATTTGTTTGCAACTTGCAAAATTGAGTGATTCTGCCAATGTGAAGTATCAGTAACTCACTTTAAGACCATGCCATCTTCTGAAAATCCATGAGTCTACTTCATAAATGCGTCAAAGTGACAACCCATCTCAGATTTGTCCGGGGTGAAAGAATGTAAGCCACAGGGCTGCTCTTCCCCAACAACAGTCCTTAGAAAGCTGGGATGCAGTTACAGAGAAGGGATGTAAAGCCAGATGGAACAGACTTTTTACTTAAAGGCACGATACCACAAATGACCCTATGGCATGGGTGGTTTCTATTTTCACACTCCTCCATTTGTGTATGATCAGTTAACCTTAATTTCTTTCTTTATGGGGGCTGATTTGGATCGACTTGTTGAGAATGGTGTTCATTATCTGATAAGTCATTAGGGAAAGATTTCTGTGGTTACATAAAACTTGTGATGGGTTTGCAGAAGTTACAGGTAGAGAGAAGAGTAGAGAAGCCAGATCTATGTGGAGGTCACATCAGCTTCATTGTACACCTTGAAGACTTTCTCAATGACGTTAATGTAGGCAGCCGTTCTCAGGTCCAACCCCAGGTTATACCTCATGGCTGTGTGCATGATTTGCTGGGTAGAACGCTCCATAGTGCAAGCTAAGCCAGAGTACACGATGTCTTTCTCAGATACACCCGATATCCTGTCTTGGAACTCAGCTGTGGGTACAACAGGAATCGTTCCACCATGCTCCCCCAATTTCCTTGAACAGACATGAGCAGGTGGTAGAGTCCCTTTCATATTTGAAGGTCAGACAGCCGTAGCTGACATGGTTGAGATTCTTCAGCCACTCAAAGTAAGAGGCTGTCACCCCTCCGGCGTTCAAGTAGAGATCAGGGATCACTGTAATGTTCCTCTCCAAGAAAATCTTATCAGCTTCCGGAGTTGTCGGTCTGTTGGCACCTTCAGCAATGATCTTGGCTTTGACTCTAGGTGCACTGGAATTGGTCAGCTGCTTCTCACTGGCCGCTGGAATCAGTAGGCCACAGTCTGCTTCCAAGATGTTTCCTTCATAGGGCTTTGCTTTGGGGAAGGCCAGGATGGAACCATGTTGCAGTTTGAAGCCTTCCAGTTCCTTTGGATCACCATCTGGATTCCATATGCTTCCATCAGACTCTCCAACACCAACACATTTAGCACCAAAGCTAAGTAAGTATCTCATAGAATGCAGATCCACATTACCACATCCTTGAACAACAAATGTTTTATCCCCAAACCCTGGTGTCATTCCTAAAATGCTCATGTAAGAAGCTACATTGATGAAGTTTTCAATCCCACGGAAAACACCATGGCCAATAGCAGAGATGCATCCATGGATACCACCTTGACTGATGGGTTTACCAGTAACACAGGCATGTGCGTTAATATCATAGTGCCCTATGGTGCTGGCATAGATATCAGTGATCCAGGACATCTTCCGCTCGTCCGTGCTTACGTCAGGGACTGGTACATCAATGCCAGGACCAGTAAAGCCCTTCTTTGCTAGTTCCATGGTGAACCTTCTTGTAATCTTTTCCAATTCATTACCAGTGTAGTTCTTGGGGTTGATCTTCACACCAGCTTTAGCACCTCCAAATGGCACATCGATGACTGCACATTTATACGACATCAGAGAAGCCAGAGCTTTTACTTCATCCACACTCATGTTTGTGCTGTATCGGATACCTCCCTTGCAGGGCTTGCGGTGCTGGCTGTGCTGGACCCTGTAGCCCTCGATGACTTCCCAAAGAGCCTTGGACGCGCCAGATGGGGAAGGACACAGTTGCAGGGCTTGAACCGCAGGATGCCGCGCACCCAGTTCCGCTTCTGGTCCTCACTCTTCCGGGTTCGGAGGTCCTCCACAATGCTGGCGCCGCCGTCGAAGAAGCCCTTCACCATCTTGAAGAACTTGGGGTCGTCCTCGCAGTCAGCCGCCGCCTCGCTGTAGTGTCACCAGGCGCGCCAGCCAAGGCTGCGGGACAGCGGCAGGCTGTCCGCAGCAGCATGGCCGTCTGGGTCGCCCTTGGCTCAAGGCGGAGGTCCCAGCCTGGGACAGCAGCAGCGCTTCGCCCAGGCAGCGGTTCATGGTGGCCTGGCATGAACTCTTTTTTTTTTTTT